TGCTGCGGCTCGGGCACTTCTTGGCCGGCACCTCCGATCTGGGCCCGCCCCCCCCCCCCCCCCCCGAAGGGTCGACGCGAAGGTCTATTGGGGGGCGCGGTCCACCTGGGGACTTTCTCGGACAGCGACCACGGACGCAAAGGGGGCAGAGCGCAAGGGCACCACGCGCGGAGCTCTGCACGCGGACGGCGCGAACATGGCGACGCCGGTGCGGAGGCAGGATCTGACCGCAGTCACTTCGGACGAGAGCGAGTTCTACGCGCTGAGCACCGTGGCGATGGGCGGCAACCTGCTGAGGGGCCTGCTCACGTGGCTCGGGTTTCGCGTCGAGTGGACCTTGGAGACCGACGATGTCCTCGAGGCAGGGCGTCGGCGAGGTCCGCCGCCTGGACGCGAGAGCGCTGCGGGTGCAGCAGGCGACCCGCCTGCTCGGCCTGACGGACCCGAAGTGCAAGGGCAGCGAGAACCCCGCCGACATCGGGGCGAAGCCGCGCGCGGCCGAGGTGCACGAGCAGCTCTGCAAGCAGGTGGGTCTACGCCGTCTTGGCGGCGACTTTGGAGCCTTTCGCGAGGTCGAGGGGGGCGCGATGATCGAGCTGCTGGGCCGCGCGGCCCGCGGCGCGCAGTTCGGCGGGGAGGTCGCGAGCAGCCCGTCGCTCAACGCGGCGATTATGGCACTTTGTCTCGCGCTTCACGCACAGCAAGGCGAGGCAGGTGGAGACGCCGGCGAGACGACGGACTGCGGTGACATGATCATGCCCATGCTGCTTCTCTTCATTTGGCTTGTCATGATCTTGATGGGCCGCGCGACAGGGTGCTGGTGTTCGAGGGCCGCGGCAAGGCCTTGCCTCCGCCGGCGGAAACCGAGAGCAAGAGTGAGATGGTGAAGGAAATGGTCGAGGGCATGAGTGAGATCAAGGAGATGATCGAGAGCAGGGGCGAGATGAGGCAGACGAGCGGAGCGCCGGGGTTGCAGTGTGGTCGTTGCTTGTGCCATATTGCGGATGATGATCGTGTGGTGCATTTGGAAAAGGGGTTGCAAGCATCTTCGTGGCGCTCGCGATGTCAAGCGCCGTTTCAAGCAGCGGTGTCTTTGCAAGGAGTGCGCCAAGGAACTGCGGTGAAATGAGCCTTGAGTCGCGTTGGCTGCACCGCTCGAGCCGAGCGCAGTTTTCAAACAAACTATCTGGAGAGAGGGGTCTCTTGCGAGGGAGTGTAGAGAATCTGTGAGACATTCCAGTGCCCCCCCCCCTCTCAGGCGAACGGCAGGGATCATCAAGTGTAGTATGTGTTCCGCTGCTGGTTACGCTCAGACAAGTTGAGGCGCCTTGGAGGTTCGCCCGCACGCCGAGGTGAACACATGGTCTCAGGGTAGGGTTTCTCGTGAAAGGTTTCTTGCCGCGCTGTTCTTCTTCGAGGTGCGCGGGCGAGCCCCGCGCCGGGGCCGCGAACAACAAAAAAAAACGGCCCGTGTCCTCGGGATGACTCGCGGCCTTGGGGGCCCGGCCCGCGGTGCCGCTGCCGCGCGCGAGGGGGTGAGGGCCGGCATGTGATGGGTCATTTTTTTCCACCGCCATTTCCATAGGCATAGCTGCCCCCCCCATACTATTGGGCGCCAGGGGAAGCAAGGCACGGATCACAGAGCGCGGCCTTGGAAGCCAGGGAGTGCCAGGAGGGGGAAAACACACACACACACACACATCGAACCGTCGATCCCCTGGAAGATGTGGGAACCTATGGGAAGTGTGGGGGGGGGGGAAGACGAACATCCAGAACGCAGCACACCCATCAGGGAGAGTCCTGGGACTCGTGCCTAGTCCTTCGTGTGCCACAGGGCCCCCTCGGAACGACTCGGATCCCCGCTCCGGGGCGCCCCATGGCGCGGGGGGCGCGCGCGGGGGCCCCGGCCAGAGCGTGCCGCACCGCCCAGGAGAGCGAGTGCGAGGCACGCCGCGCGGAGCTGCGGGCGCTGCGGGAGGACGGCCGCGGCCTCGCGCGGCTGCAGCTGGAGGCGCAACAGGGCGTGGAGCAGCTGCAGCGGCAGCAGCGCCGCCAGTCCGCCCGCCGCCACCGGCGGCGCCAGCTGGTGCTCGGGGCGGCCGGGTCTCCGGGTGGCGCTCGAAGTGCCCCCTGGCCCAAGGCGCCCCCAGCGTCTCGCTCCAGCTTGGAGCCCCTGGGCCCCCCCCCCGGGCCTCGCGATGTGGTGCTGTGGAGGCCGCCGCGGCCCCCCCGGGAATCCTGGGGGTACCTTGGGCCAGGGGCACTTCGAGCAACACCCGAAATCCAGGCTTCCCACAGACGGGGTCCGAGCAGATGGGGTCGGAGGATCGCGCTGCATCGGCGATGCATCGGCGATGCGGCTCGCCGTGGAGCCCGATTTGCTCCACACTGGCGTCGCCGATGCATGGCCGACGTCGCCAGTGCATCGCCGATGCATCCTCGAGGTGTCGCCGATGCATGGACCCCATCTAGAAGGCCTCTGGGAGAGGGGAGGGTGCATCGCCGTTGAAGGAACTCTTCTGCGTCCTTTCTCCTTCCCGCTCCCTGCTCTCCTCTGCGCTCGCGTGCACCGCAGAGCGCGCCTGCATGGCTGAATTGCCGTTTTTACCATCCAAGGGCGCCATTGCCAGCCCCCGTTCCCAGACAGGTCCGAGGCCCCAATTGTGGCCTTTGAGCCTCATGGCCAGGGCCACGCCTCTCCCTAATTCTTGCGCGTGGCCCCCGGATCTTCTCTTTCGATACGCCACTCCCCAGACATCCGGCGCTCCAATCTTTGGGAGGTCTGGACCATCCCCCTGGGACCGTTTTGTTGTTCCCCCTGAGCCGTTATGGACAGTCCTGGGGCCCTCCGAGAGCCCACAGAGGCCGATGGCGAAAAGAAACAGCTGCTCCAATTTTCAGGAGGGGAAAAAACACACAGACACAATGAATCGTCCACTCCCAGGAAAATATGGGAAAATATGGCAAGTGGGGGGGAAGATAAAAATTCAGAAAATATGTGAAAATATGGAGGATATTTTTATTTGTGTGTATTTATCTGTGTGTCCTGGGGCCCCTTCAAATTCTTTACGCTTCGCGTATCCCCACCAGCCCATCTCACAGCAGCAGCTCTCGCGAAGCATGTCGACAGTTGTGTTTTTCAGGCGTGTGTCCGCTGGGCTCCGTATATCTCCCCTGTCCCTCCTTCCTCCCGCCTCCTTGTGAATCCTCCTTGTGGGGGGGAGCGGGAGAAGGACGAGGCGGAGGAGGAGGGAGAGAAAGCGCTCCTCGTGATTTGAGTCGTTTGGGGTTTCTCGTCCTGGTGTGAGTCGTTCGGGCCCTTCTTCCTGGTGTGAGTCGTTCGGGCTCTTCGTGGTGTGAGTCGTTCGGGCTCTTCGTCCTGGTGTGAGTCGTTCGGGCTTCTCGTGGTGTGAGTTGTTCGGGCCCCTCATCCTGGTGTGAGTCGTTCGGGCCCCTCCTCCTGGTGTGACTCGTTCGGGCTCCTCGTGGTGTGAGTCGTTCGGGGCGCGCGTCGTGGTGTGAGTCGTTCGGGCTCTTCGTGGTGTGAGTCGTTCGGGCGCCTCGTCCTGGTGTGAGTCGTTCGGGCCCCTCCTTGTGGTGCGAGTCGTTCGGGTTCTTCGTGGAGTGAGTCGTTCGGGCCCTCGTCCTGGTGTGAGTCGTTCGGGCTCCTCGTGGGGCCTCTTGGGGGCCTCTTGGAGCCTCTTGGGGGCCTCTTGGGGGCCTCTTGGGGGCCTCTTGGGGGCCTCGTGGGGCCCTTGGGGGCCTCTTGGGGGCCTCGTGGGGCCTCTTGGGGGCCTCTTGGGGGCCTCTTGGAGGCCTCTTGGGAGCCTCCTGGGGGCCTCTTGGGGCCATCTTGGGGCTTCTTGCGACCTCCTCAGAAGTGCAAATGAGCGCTGCCCCCTGAGAAGGACAAAATGAGCCCAAAACCTTCGTAACATCAATGGTTTTGCTAGGAGGGAAGATAAGCGCGGCCCCCTCAGAAGGCCAAAATGGGCCCCAAACCGTAGTAAAATCAATTATTTCTGCTTCACAGAAGAGGAGGGGGCTACAAGAGCGCCCCCACGTCGGGGCCAGAACCCTTGTGAGGGTCGTCGTTTTTTGGCCCTCCCAGGCGTCGAAACAGACCCCCCTGACCACCCGCGGGACTCCCTGTCCAGGCCCAGGGGGAGGGGGGAGGGGGAGGGGTAAACCCCTCCCCGAAGGGGAAGGAGGGGTGTTGGGGGGTTGAGGACAGAGGGGGCTCTCTAAACCACTCACGCCCAAAGGGCTGGTGGGATTTGTGTGGAGCCTCGGATCTCTGTCCCGGGGGCCAGCATCCGCGCACATATTGCTCCAGCCTCGGCGCGCCGTCTGGGGAGCCCAAGAAATCCGAGGCAGGCCTCTCCCAGGGTGACGAACGAACAACACACACCCATACCCATAGGGAGGTCGTTGGGAGGAGGGCTGGCTATGGGTATGGGTGCGGGTTGTCGGACCCTGGGGAACGCTCCCGTTCGAGCGGGGACCCCCATCCGACAACACCCACCCATAGCCCTCTCCGATCCCCCTATGGGTATGGGTGTGTGTTGTTGGTTCGTCACAGGGTGCGTCAAGACTTGCATTTCAGTGCAGGGCGAATAGTGCGGAGGCGACGAGTCGGGGCCAGGAACATGTCCATCTACTCCAGATTTTGTAATAAAAGGGAGTGGGTCTGGACCCTCCAAGACAAGCCATTTCAGACCTCCCCCGCGGGAGGACCCTCCAGAACATCGTCCCCAGACCCCCCAGGCCCTCCAAGATGGCCTGGAAGAGACCCCCCCCGAAATGAGACCCCCCTGCCTTTATTACGAAATCTGGAGTACGTCAAGACTTGGATTTCAGTGCAGGGCGAATAGTGCCGAGGCGACGAGTCGGGACCAGGAACATGTCCATCTACCACAGTCGAGGCTGATCAGCAGGTCGGCCCTGCCAGAGCAGGTGTGCCTTCGCGCCCTGTGTGTTCGCGACCCCTGCCATCCATACTCAGATTGCAATATGACCCTCAGAAGGGCCTTGCGTCCTCTCGCGTGTCCTCTCCAATCAGCCTCGACCTTTGTGGGCCCCGGAAACGGCAGGGCCGTTTTTTCACCGTTTCTTGAAAAATGTCCATTGAACATGGAAACGGCAAAAAACGGCGACCAGAAACGGCAAAAAAACGGCTCCAGGATCGGCACTGGAGCCCGAACCGGTCAAACAACGGCGACGGAACCGGTGAAAAAACGGCGTCGGAACCGGCAAAACAACTGCAAAACGGAACCGGTAAAAAAACGGCCCTGTCGTTCCCAGGGCCCACTAAGGCCTCGACTGTATACTATGCTTGTCCACCGCTCGGTGGCGGACGGCGGACCAGGCACCATGCACATGCTGTTTTCAGCACCTGCTGCTCAGAGAGCCGGCCAGAATGTGATTGTCCCGTGGCGTTTCCGCGGAGCCCCACTGGGACAGGGCCCGGAAGCCAGTGGTGCACACGCGCGCGGCTCCCGACGTTGGCCTCTCCCGAGAGGCCCAAAGAGAGAGGCGAATGCGAGGCAAGGGCAGCTCGTGGGCAACGATAGGGGGGGATGCATCGATCGACCCCAATCGACCATGGATCGCCGACAGGTGCCCGATAGCCCTCACTTGCCCAGGTGGGTTCGGATTCACCGTCGGAGTCCTATCGCCGATCTACCGGCGATGTATCGCCGACTCCAGGTCGATGCATCCCCCCCCCCCATGCCAGTCCCCCCCTATCGTTATGATGTTCCTACCTACTTTAGCCTGGATCACCAGGAAGAATTTCGAGCACCAAGAAAGTACCGAAATTCGAAGGTTGGGCGCTGGGACTCGTTCGACACTATTTCGATATTGTTTCGACACTGTTCCGGGTGCTCGAACTTTTTTCTGGGATGTGGTCCTTCAGTACGATGGGAACAGCACAGCCATATCGTTGCCCCTCAGCAGCGGCATCCCGTACCTGCTTCTCCGCCGATCCACAATTATATTATCATGATTAAGTCACGCGTGCCCCTCTACAGGAGGAATTGTCAAAAACACGCAAAAATTGTATGGGAACAATTTTTTGACTACTTTTGACAAGTTTGGACAATTATTGTGAATTTCTGCTATCTTTTAGTTTCTTCAAACATCCACCTGTAGGAGGACACGCCCCACTTGATATAACTATGCGTGCGTCGGGGGCGACGCGCGCACCGCGAAATCTCATTCTATGTTCGTCGTGGCGGGCGCTTTCTGGCCACACCGCTCGGGGAACGATCTACTACAAGATGGGTATAATATTTGTTCGGGTCGGACGCGCGCCTCCAAGGAGGACACATAGGATTAGCACCGAAGGCCTCCTGGCGTCGGCGCCGTCGCCGTCGCCGCCGGCCTCGTCGGCGGCCGCAAGCGCTGCAGCCCTCGGTCGTCTTCGGTAGCAAATCGTGGGGGCCTTATGTCCCCTCGTAGTTCCGTCTTTGGTGCCGACTAGCGTCTGGGAGTCGATGAGGTAACGCCGACTTAGCGTCGAGCAGCGACGATTCAGCCTCGATGAGCGTCGATCAAGCGTCGTCTAGCGTCGATTCGCCAGAGCCGACCAGCTGGCAATCACGGGAGGCTCCCACGAGTTGCCACCGGGGCCGCCGTCGCCCGAGGTGTGCGGGACGCACGCGCTCGCCATGCGGCACGTCATCGAGGCGCGGTCGGCCCTGCACCTGCTGCGGGCGGAGGCCGAGCGCGAGGCCGAGCGGCTGAAGGCGGGCTGCGAGGCCCGTGCGCGCGAGTTCCTGCAGCGGGTCGAGCACCACAGGCGCCGCCGCCCTCGCCCCGTCGCCGTCGCGCCCGGCGCGCCGTCGCCCCGTCGCCAGCGAGCCCGGCGACGAGGAGGAGGAGGGGGAGGAGGAGGAGGGGGAGGAGGAGGAGGGGGAGGAGGAGGGGGAGGAGGAGGAGCAGGAGCAGGAGCAGCAGAACGAGGAGGAGGAGGACAGGACAGGACAGGACGGGACGGGACAGGACAGGACATGACAGGAGAGGACAGGACAGGACAGGACGACGACAACGACGACGACGACGACGACGACGAGGACGACAACGACGACGACGACGACGACGAGGACGACGACGACGACGACGAGCACGACGAAGACCGCGACGCCAGAGGTCGTCGGGCGTCTTCAGCCAGTCCTCGACTAGGACCGCCTGGAAGATCGACGAGGTCTCGGAAGACCTCGGGGTTGCTGCCAGCCTCGGGGTACCTTCTCGCCCCGGGATGCCTCGGAGATACCTCGGGGCACCTCGGGATACCCCTACAGGGACACCCGCAGCCTCGGGGCACCTGCCGGGGTACTCCAGATTTCGTAATAAAAAGGAGGGGGTCTGGACCCTCCAAGACAAGCCATTTCAGACCCCCCCCGTGGGAGAACCCTCCAAAACATCGTCCCCAGACCCCCCCAGGCCCTCCAAGATAGCCTGGAAGAGACCCCCCCCGAAATGAGACCCCCTCCCTTTATTACGAAATCTGGAGTACCCCTCGGGACGCGTCGGGGCACCTGCGGGCGGCTGCGCCTCGCCGAGGGCCTTCCGGGCGCGCCCGGGTCCCCCCGCGGGCTCGCCGCCGGCAGCCCGGGCTCCGCTCGCCGCGCATATAGAGAGCACGCCGCGGGAGGCCTTGCGGCAGCTCGCGGCCTGCCGCCGCTGCCGCCGCCGCTGCCGCCCCCTCTCGATTCCTCGGGGAATCCGCAGGGGTTCCTCCAAAAGATTCCTCAGGGATTCCGTGGGAATTCCTCCGGATCCCCCGGAGATGCCTCGGGGATCCCTCCGAAGTCTTCTGAGAGATGCCTCGGGGATTCCACGGGAGAGTCCCAGGACAGCCCCCAGGAGATTCCTCGTACTTCTGCAAGAGGCCCCTCGGAATCGCACGGGAGTGCCTCAGAGATCCCTCGGGATCCCTCCGGGATTCCTCAGCGAAGGATAACCTCATGCCCGTGAGAATAAACACTAGGGGATAATAAAGTTCGGGGCTCAGGGAGAGATAATAAAAGTAGCCCAGCAGACCTCAGCATAATCTCGAAGTAAGAGATGATCAAGAGGAGACCAAGCCGAGCACGTTTTGAGACATCCTTGGCGTTTAGTTTTCATAGAAATATCCTCAACAATGGCTTATCTCGCTGGAGACATCCTCGACAAATCCCTTGTTTCGCTTGAGACATCCGCAAACGATTGCTTATTTCGCTTGAGACACAGTCAAATTATTGCTTATTTCGCTTGAGACATCCTCGACATAATTGTGTTTTTCGCTTGTAACGTCCTCAAAATATTGCTGAGTTCGCCTGAAACATCCTGGAACTATTGCGTATTTCGCTTGAGACATCTTGAAACTATTGCTTATTTCGCTTGAGACACCGTCAAACTATTGTTTATTTCGCTTGAGACATCCCTAGATAATCAACGGCGGCGATAATAAAGTTCAGGCGGGCGGAGGAATGGAGGAAGCTATATATAAAAAAGAAAAATAAAAAGAATAAATAATAAAATAAAAAAAGTGATAGGAGGAGGAGAAGGAGGAAAAGAAGAAACAATCTCGAGTTTCAAAACTATTAGATTTTATGTACAAGCGCTTTATGAAAATTGTTTTTTTGTAAGTGCTCGTGTAGGGTAGCTCATGTGCCTCAATTTCCATGGATAATCAACCCCAGAGATAAAAAAGTTCAGGCGAGCGTGGGGACAGAGAGAAATATAAAAGAAGAAGAATACAGTAGAATAATAATAAGACAGAAGAAGAAGAGGAGAATAAGAAGAGGACGAAGAAAGGAAAAATCCAAAGTTCCAAATCTATCAATTTTAATTTACAAACGCTTTATGAACATTGATTTTTTAAGTGCTCGTGTAGGGTAGCTCATGTGCTTCATTTTCCATGGATAATCAACCCCAGGGATAAAACAGTTCAGGCGAGCGTGAGGACAGATAGAAATATAAAATAAGAAGAGGAAATTAGAAGAATAATAAGAAGAGAAGAAGAAGAGAATAAGAAGAAGAGAAGAAGAACGGAAAAATGGCAGGTTCCAAATCTATCAATTTTAATGGACAAACGCTTTATGAACATTGATTTGTTTAAGTGCTCATGTCGGGTAGCTCATGTGCTCCCCTTTCCATGGATAATCAACCCCAGAGATAAAAAAGTTCAGGCGCGCGCGGGGATAGATACATATATAAAAAGGAAGATACTAAAACATATAAATAAAAAGAAACAACTTGCTGGTTTAGCTTGAAACATCCTTGAGACATCCTTGGAACATTGCTCGTTTCGTTTGAGTCTGCCTCCCAAAATTATTGGTTTCGCTTGACACATCCTGAAAAAGTGTGATCGCTTCGCTTGATGTTGCTATATCAACATCGCTTGATGTTGCTATCTCAACATAGCGTTTCGAGGTGATAATGAAGTTCGGCCTCAGCGCTCGCCGCCCAATTTGAATTTTGTATAGGGCGACGATAATCAACTCTAAACACTGAAGGGGGGGGTCCCTTTATTATCATCGGCATGCGGTTATCGTTGCTCGTCCTGGAGGCCCCCCATCGCCACGGCCGGACGCTCCGGCGCGCCCCCGGAGAGGTCCCGGGAGCGGCGGTGCCTGCATCGGGACCGCCTTCGCCCCGCCGCCGCCGCCCCTGACGCCTCCGCCTTTCCCGCCGCCCCTCCGCACACGCCCAGGACGGTCGGAGGTTGATAGACCTCTTACCCTAACACGTCGATGAAGGAATTGGCCGTGTTCGGTTCGCGACAGGGCGTCGCGGCCGTCGTTTTTGCGGGTCCATGGCCGTCGGTTTCGGTCCAAGGCCATTTTCACTAAGGGGAGGTTTACTAAAGGGAGGTTTGTCCACCGCCGAGGCGGGGCGCGTCGGGCTCCCCGAGCGTCGGCAGCAGCGAGCGTGGGGCAGACCTGAATGCCCACCCCAACCCAGAGCAGCAGTCACCAGTCTGGAAGGCCATGCTCGATTGGGGAAACCGAGGCGAGACGAGGCGGTGCTGCCCGCGCCTGCGCTCGTCACGAAAAGAAAGATCAAGGCAGGAGGCTTCTGGCCGTTCTCGGCGTCGGGGGGCGCCGGCGCGGCCTCAGGACTGTCGAGAGGAGCTCGCGCGGCGGGGGAAGCGTCCAAATCATCGGGAGGTCCGCGATTGCCCCTGGCCCCGCCGCCGACGCCTCCGCCCCCTCCCCTCGGGAGGAAACGATCAGCACCGATGCCGCTGCTCGTCCTGGAGATCCCTCGGACGACTCGTCGCCGCGGCTGGCTTCTCCTCGAAGTCCTGGTCAGAGCGCACCCTGTAGGAGAGGTCCAGGGAGCAGCGGTATCGGTATATGCTTGTCCGCCCACCCCCTCCTGCCAGGCAGCTGCTGACACGCGCTAGGCCGAGTCCTGTCCAATCGTTTTTCCCTCTTCCCCTGCTGTTGCTGCAGCCAGTGATCGTGTGCATCCCGTTCATTGTTTTCTTGTCTAAGTTTCTTGCGAGTCGTCGTCCCCACTGCCCCGCTTTCCACTTCTCCCCTCCCCTCCCCCGTCACCTCCCATCCCCCGTCTGCATCCTTCCCTCCGTCCCTCCGTCCCTCCCATCCTTTTCCCTCTTCCACTTTCCCCCCCGCCCCACCCTCCCCCCAAGGAGAGGGGCCGAGAGGGGGGGGAGAATGAGGGCGGAGGAGGGGGGGAGGAGGAGGAGGAGGAGGAGGAAGTGGAGGTGGAGGAAGGGGGGGGAGAAGGAGGAGGAGGACGAGGACGAGGAGGCGGAGGCGGAGAAGGACGAGGAGCAGGAGTAGGACGATGTTTCCCCTGTCCCTGCCCCCCCCCACTCTTCGACATCCTCGTCGCCCTCCCACTCCTCCTCCTCCTCCTCCTCCTCCTCCGTAGCCATTTTGGCTCAAGTCCGTAGCGGGAGGCTCAGTGACTTGAGGTTTGGCAAGGGGGAGGTGCGCCCCCACTTGCGATCCCTGGGCCAGCGTCCAGGCTGTTTTCACACGTGGCCTCACGGCCACCACTCCGCGATTGTACCCTGTGCCTGAAGGGCGCAACATCTCCCCTTTCCTGGTGAGCTCCTGGAGGAGCCCATGGGCAAGGATGCCGCCAAGGGCTACCTTTCTTGCTCAAGTTGCCGCTACCGCTGGAACTGGACGACGCGAGAGCACTGCTTATCCTGTGGCAATGCGCTGGTCCTCGCGCCACCGCCGCCGTGGCGCCAGGCCAAAGGGGTTTGGTCGCCAGGTGGGGAGGGAGGTGGCCAGCAAGGGCCCGCACACCCGCCAGGGACCTGGGCCCCCAGCCGCCTGGAGGCACCGCGGGTCTCGGCCCCACCGCAGCGAGGGGCGGGCAAGCAGCCGACGGTGGCGGAGCTCCTCACGCAGCTCAAGCAGCATGCCAAGGCGGACGCAGGGGAGCAGGAACTGCAGGCCCTGGTCCAAGCGGTGGCTCCGCCAGAGCCTGCGCAGCCAGCCCGCCAGCCCCTGTTGGAAGAGACCATCAGTGCAAAGGGCGTAGCGTGCAGGAGGGCGGAGAAGGCCTTGGAGCAAGCGGTCCACCAGGAGGATGAGGCGCGGCGCTGGCTGCCGGAGTGCAGCCAGCGGACCCAGGAGGCGGCTGTCTGGGCGGTGCAGGCCAAGACGGCCTGGCAAGAGGAGCTCAGGACCGAGTTGCAGAAGGCCCGTGGCTCGACGCCTGGTTCGGGGACTCCGACTGAGGCGGTGCATGTGTCGACGGGTTCCCAGATCAACCTATCGCAGCTGCTGGGGGAGGAGAGTGGCTTCGATGGCGTTGAGATCGTGGATG